TTGATTCAACTTTCCACCTAGGGTATCCATTCAGGCATTCTAGCACATGTGTCCTAAGGCCAGCGATGGATTGCCCCACACACCTTGAAGTGATTTCTAAATGAGAGAAGCTTGAAGCTCCCCCGCAGAAAAAGCACGAGATGAGAAAGGTGCTGGGTTAAATACAAAGCTGTTGTCAGCCCCAAACCACCCGGGAGGAGCTGTGGAGCTTGGAGGGGGCTGCCGTTTCATGGAGATCATGTCAGTGTGGCTTGGCACTTGGAAGCAGAAGTAGCGCAGAGAAATGAGCTACTGGCAGAGGTCGTGCTGCGGCTGACCCAGTCCACTCTGCATTCCCAGTCTCCTTTGGAAGATCCTCACCTGCTTCCATCCCCTCCCAGTTCCTATGTTCTATATACATCTTCTGCACACCCTCCTTCTTAACAGCCTCTCTCAGCCTGAGCTAGAAATGAAAAAACAGATTTAAACTATTCTAACCCAAGCTCCTTACATATTGAGCTGTGCCTAGCTGGCCAATTTCTTCCCAAAGATATTTCAAGCATCAAGAACAGGTGGATTTGCATGTTGCAAGGCCCAGGAGTGGAGGCTGGGGGACTGGGCTCTCCAGGGGAGTAGCCCCATCGTCTTCCTTTTTATGGGTCCTGACCACTTCCTGGGAGCTCTGGTAGCATAGTGGCTAAGACACTTGCCTGCTAACCAGACGGCTGGCGGTTCAAACCCACCAGCCACTCCTCGGAAGGAAGGTTGGGCAATCCTACTTCCGTAGTGATACTGTCTCGGAAACCCAAGGAGGGGTCGCTAAGAGTCGGGGCCGACTCGACGGCACATAACAACAACAACGACGACGACCACTTCCTACAAAGCACGGCATCAGCTCATGGACTTCCTCTACATAGTCAATGATAGCTCCTGGGCCAACTGCTTTCAAAACGTGTTAAGCTTGTTGAAAATGGTAGCCCTCGATAAAGGAAAATTCTGGCGTGTTGTGGTTATTTAAGATCAGAACAGATCCGTTCCTTAGCTACAGGGAAACCTGGCTGCTTTCCTGAATGGTGACCACAGACTTGGATAATTTGCAGGATGGAGTTTTATGTGAGGACCCTTCCTGATGCCCAGATGCATGGAGATAAGGACCCAAACCCACCTTCAAGGAGAAAACTCAGAACAGGGGAGGCTCTCCTGCCTGGGACATTTGGTCATGGACAGGCTCTCAGGAAACTGGGACAGTTATGAGATGTGACACAGGTCATCAGAACCTTCTACTCTGTGTTCCCAGGGCTCTAGAATATGCTTCGGCCATGATCAAATAAAAATTGAACTAGGAGAAATGGCAAATGTGTTCCCTTTGTGCATTCAAACTGAAGCCTTGTGAAACTGTTCCTGTTTTGAATATGATAAAGTAAAATAACTTTCTAATTCTTAGGGCTGCTTTGTGTTCCCCTGGGACTATACCTTTCATAGTGTCACTGAGACAAAAACCAAGAGCAGCAAATGGCCCCTGCTACATATTCTTTTGTAAGAAACTTGTTTTTAGGGACATTTTCTTTGTTCTGATTTTCTTTGGCCCTGAATGGAAAAGAAGTTCATTTTTCTTTTCTTTTCATTATAATTGGAAACTGTCTTTTTTTTTTTAAAAAAAAAAAAAAAAAGGACATATTCTCTACCCAGCTTTGCTTTTAAAAGTGCTTGTAAAATACAACCTTGTTCATCACAGTGGTACGTGAAGGGGTCCTCCCCAGGCCGGCCCTGTGCCCGCCCGCCACCCCCTGGCAGGTGCTGAGTTGACGCAGGTGTTAGGCACACTTGCTGGCGCACTCCAGCAGCTCCATCCGGATGGCGATGCGGACGTGCCAGCCCAGTGGGATCAGTCGGATGAAGCGGGAAATGATGGGGGGCCGCAAGAGATTCTGAACTGTGGAGGTACGGTCTGAATTTCCATAAAAGACCTAAAGGAAAAAAAATCTCATCACTACCACATCAGGGGAGGGAGAAGGAAGGAGGATTCCTGTCTGGAGTTGGCCCCAACTCTTAGCTGTATGTAAAATTTCAGAAAATAGTTAAAGCCTCTGGTAGCGTAGTGCCTAAGGCACTTGACTACTAACCAGAAGGCTGGCGGTTCACACCCACCAGCCACTCCTCGGAAGGAAGATGGGGCAATCTACTTCCGTAGTGATACCTCCTGGGAGACCCAAGGAGAGGTCGCCATGAGTCGGGTCCAACTTGACAGCACTTAACAACAACAACAACCATCACTGTTAAGTGATTCCAGCCCAAAGCTTCACAATAAGACAGAATAGAACTGCCCCACAGGGTGTCCAAAGCTGTGATAATTTTGTTTTAAACTTTTTATTGTGGTTTGAGTGAAAGTTTACAGAGCAAAGTAGTTTTCCATTCAACGATTCATACACATTTCGTTTCATGTCATTGGTTGCAATCCCCTCAATGTAACAGCACTCTTCCCACTTCCTCCCTGGGTTCCCTGCTGCTGTTTGTCCTTCTTTCCTGCCTTCTGAGCTCTGTTACTTGGGTAAATGCTGCTTTTTTGGTCTCGTGTGGTTGATAGTTGAGGACTACGTTCCTCCTTGGTGCTACTGATCATGTTATTGTTTGGCTGAAAAGTGATCCCTGGGAGTGGGTTCAATTCCAGGTTTGAAGGGTGTCCAAGGGCCATAGTCCCAGGGGTTCCGCTAGTCTCTGTCAGACCAGTAAGTCTGGTCTTTCTTATGATTTTGAGTTTAGTTCTACATTTTTTTTTCCCCACTCGGTCCAGGACCTTCTATTATGATCTCTTTCAGAGCTGAGCTGTTGGTGGTGGTAGCCAGGCACCATCTAGTTCTCCTGGTCTCAGACTGATGGAGGCTGTGGTTTACTTGGTCCATTAGTTCTTTGGTCCAACTGTTTCCTTGAGTCTTTGATTTTCTTCACTCTTCTTTGCTCTCGATGGGGAGGGACCAATAGTTGTGTATTAGATGTCCTCTCACAAGCTTTTAAGACCCCAGTTATTACTCACCAACGTAGGATATAGAACATTGTCTTTGTGGACTACGTTATGCCAGTTGACCTCGATGTGGTCCTAAGGCCTCAAGGCCAATGACTCATTCCCTCAAGGGTTTTGTTATGGCTAAGAAATTTTTATAACTTTGCCCCTTGTATCTTTGTATCCACTATATCCATGGATATATTTACAGCACATACAAATACATATGTAGAAATATCCTCTGTCAAACCTGTATAGGCTTGTGAGTGTACTCCCATTTGCCTTCGCATGTCTGACTGCCACATCTTTCTCACACAGAGTGGCTGGTGGGTTTGAACCACACACCTTTCAGTTACCAGCCAAGTACTTAACCACTGTGACACCAGGGCTCCTCCAGGGAATTTGCAAGTGCCTCCCAAATCTGACCTTGAATGGTTGTTAGCACCTATATGCTTGGAGCATTTCTGAGTCACTGTATGGAGATGTCTAGAACTACATTTTCCAGTATGCTAACCAATAGCTACATGCAGCTATTTAAATTTCAATTAAATAAAAATTCAGTATCTCCCCCATCACACTAGCCACATATCAAATCCTCAGTAATCACATGTGACTATTGGCTGCCATATTGGATAGTGCAGATATGGATGTTTCCATCATTCCAGAAAACTTCATTGGATGGCACTAATGAAAAAATACCTCTGGACTCTTAATACCAATTATATACATTCATTCTTTGCGTTTGGACAAGAAGTTTTGAAAGGACCCATGTTACACTTCTAAGAGGAATGTTCCTGTGTTCAAAGTAGGTCTCTTGAGTTGGCTCTGAAATTGTAAGCCTAAGTTTACATGTGTATCCCTACATCAATACAAATGGCAAGTATACTTCAGGCTTGGAAAAACGGGTTTTTAAAAAGACATAAAAGCTACAGAGAAGATTCTGGAAGGCAGGGGGCAATGCCCAGAGTAGGGAGAAAAGGTTTTGCTTAGTGTTTTTCTGGATGTAACATAAAATGGTGCAGATGTTGTAACTAAGGTGCAGTGGATGCTTGCATATATTTCTAAAGAAAGTGGTCATTCTTTGCGCTTTCCAGAGTTATCATGCTTTGCCCAATGACACCGGAACATTTCATTTCCTTCTGAGATTATCTCCTGAAAAAATCTGCTCACCACATTGGCCTCATTCATCCACAGAACAAGAAGGCCCTTGTCAGCCATAATTTTACCTTTCTTCCCAGTAGCAACGCTTACGCACCTCTAGGCTATTTGGCCTTGAGCCCGTGCAATTCTGGATCCAGGTGAAGAGGGTGGATGGAACGGGCTTCGGCAGATTGTACAAGTGCCTCTTTGCAAACTGTTGAGGCTTTCGGAAACCCAGACAGTGCTTGAGAAGAATTCTAGAGACTTTTTAAAAGCCAATTGATATGAACGAAAATGAAATAGATGTCCAAGTATCAAGATGAGTTTTCCAATTGTGTTCAAGAGCCTTGGAACTTCAACCCATGTATGTCTTGCTGTACAAATTGTCATCAGAGACTTAAGAGCCTTCCTATTGTCAGCCGCACACGTCTGTATAGGGCCAGCATGCTTCTGCTCACCACTCTGCCAGCTTGCACATGACTGTTTAACCTGATTCAATGCAAATTAGGCCGGGAAAGTCCTTACACCTAGGCAAAAGGACGGTAAGCATTTCTAAACAAATACTGAATTTTTCCTTTGTTGTTATTCCTTGCAAATACATATATGTATTATATGTATCATCAAGAGCCTGCTGTGTTCAGTCCTCAGTGAACAGGACTTCAGTTCCAGCCTGTAGAGACTGATAGAAGATCAAGTTGGCCAAAGGCTGAAGAAGTCTGCATTTAATGTTTAAAGGTTCCTGAACCAGAGCCTCTGCATCTGTACTGGTGGAGCCCTTTTAACTATTTACATAGCTTCGTGGCTGACTTTCTGGGTTGTCAAAAGTTTCCCAGCATTCACTCTCAGTCAATAGGAAGTCGAGGCCATATGTATATAAATGGACTATTTCCTACTTGCATCAGTAGCAGATCAAGTGAGACCATGAAACGAAGAGTGTTCATTGATTTGGTGAGTGTGGAATAGTCCACATGGCCTGTCTTAATTATTCAAGCAACTATCTGCTGATAATGAGAATTCAGACAAATATTTCTTTTGCACATAAGAGTGGCATTCATTGGCCAACGTTGACAAATTGTGCTGGGTACCAAGGATACAACAAGGAAAGACACCTGCTCTGCCCTCTGAGAGGATACAGTATGGTGAGGAAGAAGCATGGCTAACCCACCATGCCACAGGGCAGTGCTCTGACAGAGGTGGCTGCAGCAGCATAGGGAAGGGAGGGGCCCAAGAGAGTGAGAGCCACAGGTGTTTGGGGATGGAACCCTGACTTACCCGGTTGTTTCCAGTCTGGTCCTTATAATAAATCCAGTTCAGGCTCTCATCGGTCCTGTACTGCACGCTGTACTTGGTCATCCACTCATCAATGTCACAGCGCCCTTGGGTGAGGATCCCCGAAATCACCTTGATCTCCTTCAGATCAATTTGTAACCACTGGCTGCTGTCCTGGAACTTCGATAGCCAGGCGCACCTGCCGGAAACACCACGTCACCAGGAGCCCTTTACCTGGAACACCTCCCCAGGGCCAGGAGGTGCCATCTTTAGAGGGGGCCCCAGCACCTGAAGAGCCCCAGCAAAGGCCAGCATGGTGTTCTGAGTCACAGTCTCATTAGCACTCGGAGTTTGTCTCCAAGAGTGGTGTCCATGAACTTCACTTGGATCTTATCTGTCTCCGTACATTTCTACCTCCTCAAGAGCAATTGCCAGATTCAAATGAATTATCAACGAAATGCCTTCAAGTGTAGCAAAAATCTTTAGGGTGTAGGTTGGACGTATCTTTCTTCAAAACACATGAACACATGGTTATTAGACCCACCAGCCCTGCTCTCTTTTCACTAGTCTCTCCTAATGACTCTCCATACATCTTTTTCAATTTCACTCCCTTTCCAAAACCAAAAAAACCAAACTCACTCCCATGGAGTCTATAGTGACCCCTCCTTGGGTTTCCAAGGCAGTACGTCTACAGAAGTAGATTGCCCAATCTTCCTTCCAAGGAGTGGCTGGTGGGTTTGAACTGCCAGCCTTCTGGTTAGCAGTCAAATGCCTTAGGCACTACGTCACCACAGCTCTCCATTAGACATATCTTAATCTTATGATGCGTCATCTATGTCATTCAGGAAGTGTCTACCAAGGACAGAACCCTGAACCAAGTGTATCTGGAAGGGGTTTTGATCATTGAAAAGCAAAATAACCAGTTAAGGAATTCAGGTTTTGTTTTTTGTTTTTAAATCCATCTCCCTCATACATTATGGGAATCTGTGGTTTCCCTTCTGTGTTTTTTCTTTTGTCTTTACTTTTATTGAGAATTAATTTATCAGGACTCAGTCCTTGGCTGCCTTCTCTTCTTATTCTTGCTATTTGGGTAACTCTTGACTTTTGACTTCTATCTCAGGACTCTTCTGAATAACCAAATCCAGAGAGCCAGTCGCCTGCTAGCCAGCACCTCCTGGATGTCTTACAGCATCTCAAATGAAACATGTCCAAAAGTGAACTCCTGATTACCTCTACCCAAGATCTACCTCCAGAATCCATCTCTAAATGGCTCCCTCATTCTTCCAAGTGCTCATGCCAGCATCTGAGAGCCATCCTTAACCCCTTGCTCTCTGGAAACACCCAATCCATCAATTGGCTGTAACTCCAAATGTATCTCAAATTCATCTACTCTGAACTTCCCTGCCACCATTCTAATCCATGTCACCCTCAAAATCTTGCCTAGACTACTGCCATAGCTCACTTAACTAATCTCCCTATATTACTCGTCCCCCACACCATGCACCTCTCCCCACAGGAGCCAGAAATTTTTTCTTAAAACACAAATCTGAGTGGGATACCCCCAACTTAAAATCTGTCTCTGGCAGAGGCTGCTAGTTGTCTCTCGTTTTCCTTTAGTAATAGAACTCCTGCATTTTAGCTGGGCAAACAGCCACCCAAGACTATATTTTGCAGTTTCCCTGACAGCTAGCTAGGGTCATCTGGCCAAATTCTGACCAATGGGATGTGGGCAGAGGTGATCAAAAGACTATGCCTGTATCCTTAAAGGAAAACTGTGTACCGTGTTTTTATTTTTTTCTCTCCCTACTGACTAAAATGTGGGTGTGATGGTGGAAGCCACAGCAGCCATCTTGGGCCCCTGATACCATTAAACTGCTATAATAACCCTGGACTGCCTAATGAAACTTTAGGTGAGCAAGAAGTACATTTCTGCATTGTTTGATTCACTGTACTTTGGAGCTCTTTGTTACAGCAGCACAAACCTGTATTCTAATACACCTTCAGAGTCCTTCCATTATCCCTAAATAAGGACCACAACCATGATAATTTCTTGTCAGGCTGTGCACGATCAGACTTCCGCCTACCTCTCCAGCCTCATCTTGCCCGTGCTATGGCCTCACTGGCCTTCTTTATGTTCCCGTCCATGCACATGAGGTATCGCCCCAACTCAGGGCCTTTGAACATGCTATGCCTCTGCCTCTTCCCCAGCTCCAAGTCTTTTCCTTAGGAAGCCTTCCTTGGTGTTTCAGATGGCTGAGTTCTTTCTTCCTTCTTCCTCTCCTCCATCACACTTACTAAATAATCAGTTGGGTGATGATTGGACAGTCCATCTGTCCCTCTAAACTATGCTTCCCGAAAGCAGAGACCTCTGCTGTCTTGCTCACTGTCCATGTCCATTGTACTCAGTGCATAGAAGGCACTCAGTCGATATTGAAGAAAAACAAATGAATTCTGTGCCATTTGCTTATCCGAGACCTACTTTTAAAAATAACATTTTTTAATAAAAATCACCTGTGCTGCCTGGCCTGCTTACCCGAAGCCTTGACTGTTGAGCCGGGCCTTGTTTGCGGTCCACGAGGAATACCAGCCAATGTACTGCTCCGGGTTGGAGCAGGTGATCTGGTCTGGTGTAACCTCTCCTGATTCGAAACCCAGGGGTTTATGATAGGGGCATTCTGGGAGAAGAGAGACAAAAGAACGTTAAAACACTCATATATCTCAGTAGTCAACAAACACAGGAAGACTGGAATGATAAGACAAACCATCTTATTTGCATGTTTGAAGGTAGAAGCTGTTTCAGTTGTCAGCACAGTTCACAATAAAGCTAGGTCTTGAACCTGTTCACTGCTTCTGCAGGAAGAGAGTGGAGATGATGTCAAGGGCTTGCCCTGAAGCCTTAACAGCACTGGGAACACCAGGGCGAGTGGTTCTACAGCAACCCGACGAGTACGGGGATTTTCAGAAATAATGCACCTGGGCCACAAGCTTAGAGATCTAAAATCCAAGAAGTTTGTAGCAAAATATCATATTTAAATACCATACATCTTGATTTTCTTCGTTAATGCAGGATTAGCCATCTAGCATGATGTCACAGGGTCCCTAATTGGCCTTGGGAAGTATATGATGCCAATTATAGGAACAAAACAATCATGAGAGGCAAGAGGAGCGATTATATATTGAGACCGACTTCCCACTTGTAAATTGTAGTTTTCTCACTAGTCTAATAAAAAAAAAAAATGGGGCAGAAATGTGGCTGAGTGACTGTTGAATAGGAACGGTTGAAAGGAACTGCTTTCTCCAAATAAGAATAGCCAAATGTGGTTGTTATATGCTAATTGCTTACTGCTTCTCTTGTATTTCCTCTCATGCTAAGAATACTATTGAGTTACCTGGTCAGAGACTGCCGGCTGCCAACCCAGTATTCGTTCTCCCTTTCTGTTTGACTTCAAAAACCCTAATTTTGCTGGGGGCAGCAATGGGACCAGCTGAACTACATTTACCAGCCTCCCTTGCAGATGGAAGTGGCCAAGTGACACAGTTTCTGGCCAGTAAGACATAAGAGGGTGTCTGCTGAGGATTTCTGGTCAAGTGTTGCTTGCCCCCTCCTTCTCATTGCCTAGAATGATGAGCTGGAACAACGGTAGCCACTTTGCACCATGAGGGTAAGGTCAAGAGCACTCAAGAGTCCTCAGCCCTGCTATCCTTGAGTACCTCCCTACCTCTAGTCTTCTTACCATGTGAGTCAAACAAAACTCCTAATTCAATAAACCTCTCTTTAGGGTGTCTTTGACAGCCAAAGCCGGTTCCTAACTGAATTTCTGTAGAAAACAGATCATCAAGCCATGCTAATTACATTTCCCTAGTTTCCTGATTATTAATGATGAACTCCAAGTAAGGCCAATCAAATTGTTTTTCCACGTGTAAATTAGTGTTCAGGTTGAAATGCTGACCATATTTACTGGGGCATCATCACCTTTCACAGTGAAACGAGTGCTGAAGTCTTTCTGGAGGCTAGTTCTTAAAAACGGAGTGAAGTTTGCAAAAGCTTGAAAGCCATCCCTAGACTCCAGAGGGTCTTCAGGGACAGTCATGCCCTGTCCTCAGAGGCTGAAGACAGAAGGACAGCTTCAGGCCTCTGGCCAGGGGGCCTTCATCTTATGCCCTAGCATACCAAAGACATAGACCCAACTCCCACGAGTATCTGCAGCTTGGTGGGGCTGGGGATGAGAGGATAGCACTTGCAACTTACCAAGTAGCTAAGACTTCAGGAGCCCATTCAGATGACATTTCCTCCTGGGAGAGGCTTTGGAGGCCACTCAGCCTTTGTGGGGCCAAATAATCAGGGGGGCTTGCTGAGAATATCATTTCCAGGAGGCCACTCCCAGAGTGGCTGCGTTTTTAATGAGCACGCTTTCAAAGCATACTTTGAAACCCTTTGCCTGGCAGGGAAGGCATTTTGCTGGCTGGCAGATTCAGAGGGCCTTGTGCCCATGGGCTTAGCAACTCCTGCATCTTATCATGTGGCACCGACCTGGAAGATAAGCCAAGCAACTGGAAGGAGAGACAAGTCCCCAGCATCAGAGCTGGCTTCCAGTTGGACCTTGGTCATCATTTGCCCTCAATTTTATAATCTGTAAAATTCTCAACGTGGATGGATATCTTTAAGGCTTTCTCCAGCTCTAGCACTGGATGATGAATCTCTCTCATTTTGTTGTTTTTGTTTGTTTTGCTCTCTGGCCACCAGCCGTGGGGGGGGGGGGGGGCGGGGTTGGACAGAGAAGAAGGAAAAGCCGTAGCCACCACTCCCATTCTTCTCATTCATTTCTCTCCCTCCAGTTTCCCTCATCTCTTTTTCAGCTCCTCCCAGTAAGCCCCTCCAGCAGTTAAGAGTGAGCTGTAAACCTGCAGGGGCCCCACTCAGCGTCAGTGGCCTGGGAGGCATGTGAGGCCTTGTCCAGGTGGCTGAGAATCTGAGGTTCAGTGCGCTCCACACTCCTCCTTGTCCAGACATGGATCCTGCACACGCTCTCCAGGGGAGGCCATGGCTGTGGCCAGCAGCTGGGAGCCCAGCCTTGACTCCCAAGCTCCATGCCTCATCCCACTGACCCCTACGCATCTCCATATGCATATTTTCACTTGGATAACCTCATCTATGGCAAACTAAGGAGCTCTGGTAGGTAGTGCCTAAGGCACTTGACTGCTAACCAGAAGGCTGGCGGTTCAAACCACCAGCTACTTCTTGGAAGGAAGATGGGGCAATCTACTTCAGTAGTGATACCGCCTCAGAAACCCAAGGGGGGGGTCGCTATGAGTCAGGTCCGACTTGATGGCACATAACGACAACAACAACATAGCAAACTAAGCCCTTTATCACCTGACCTTGTGCTGGCTCCCTGCCCACTGCTCTCGCTCTTAGGCTGCCTAAGCTGCCAACCTGGTGGTTGGCCCAGGTTACAAACTGGAGGCTCAGGAATGCAAGGTCTCAGCCTTGGCTGCACCCTTGGCCATCCCCTCAGTGATTCTGATTTAATTGGTCTGGAGTGTGGTCTGGGCATTTGGATAAAGGTGTGTGTGGGTGATTGCAGTGGGAAGCCAAGGTCAAGAACTACTGCTTAGTGCCAGTGAGCCTTGGGGTGAACGTGGACAAGCTACTTAACCTCTCTAAGTCTCAGTTTCTTCATCTGCGAAATGGATGACAGTAATACCTGCCTCTAGAAAATGTCTATGGGATGAAGTGAATAATGTTTGTAGAGTGCTTTCACTGTACCTGGCCAAAAAGCGGCAGTTAATATTGCTGTCACAGGGTGAATTCATGAGGCGCTACTGATGTCTTCTTAAGTTTTGCATGTTTGTTTTTCTGGTGAAACTCATCAGAAATCCAACATCCCTGTCTTTCTCTGGTCTGTCCCTATCCCCCAATACAGCCTTCAAAGAAGGCCAGCCTCCTGTTTCTAAAGATTTGGGCGTTTTTTGCCCCAAGAAGGAATAAACTGTGTGTGTGTGTATGTGTGTGTGTGGGGGGGAGAAGTGAGAGAGAGAGAGCATGCTCCAAGAAAGATGCCTCGTCCACGGCATCTCAGGTTTGTGGATTTGGAAGGTCTAGTTCTCAACAGGAATTAGCTGATAGTCCCGGAGGGGGTACTGGAGGCTCTGGGCCCTGACTGTTGCTGAGGGGGCCTGACAACCCCAGTTAAGGTAAACGGGGCATGTGGTGGAGGCCTGAGCTCAAGCAGAAGTGGTTCCCCCGAGGGAGCTGGGGCATGGATGGGGCCTGGAAGCGGTAAGCAATAGGTTCCCTCAGGAAACTTGAGTAGAGAGAGGAGCCATCAATGAGATGGCTGCCTTTGAGCAGCACTGTGGGGTTCAGGGAAACTGCCACCTGAGTCTTTGAAAGCCTGTAGGGGCTTCATGTGGCCCAAAGGGGAGAGGAAGGAACTTCAAAAGTCCTATCTTTAGACTCTTCACAGGCCATGACAAGGGGGACTCAAACTGGATATGTTTTGATTTAGGAAAGCGGCAAATGCGACATTTCTTGTACTCCGCATGCTGTGGAGTGAACTTCATTCCGGTTGTATTATTCTCAGTTTCCTGATGCCTCCTCCTTCCATGGTCAATTTACCACCAGATCCCATTTTCGTCACATACTAAATACTCTTAGGCCCCTTTATGCCTTTCCTACTGCCCTCACCCCAGATACTCTATTTTCCACCCCGAGCCGGGGCATCTTCCGAAGGCATTTTCCCTGCGTTAGGCCCTTCAGTGGTGACCCTCTGCCCTCAAGATGTAAAGTGCAAAGCTACAAGGCCCTTCAGGGCCTGCTCCATCCCCTGTTTTGTCTCCTGTGGCCTGGGGTTCCTGTTGCCTTCATGTAGCCTAAAGGCCTTTCCTTAAGGCTGTTTGCTGACTTGCTGTTCCCCTGCCTGTCATGTTCTGTCACCTCCCTTTGCCTTCCCCTTGCCAACTCTGCTTATCCTTCAGACCTCTGCCTATGCTGAGCTGAGTAAGGATCTCCAGGGATAGCCTCCACGCCACCCTGTGCTGTCACTTAGCACTCCTTATTGGGAGTATATAATTGTCTGCTTCTCTTGTCTGTCTGCTTTCCCCCCCCCC